TATTATCCATTTTGTTCCAAAAAGTAACTAAACTAAGAAAATCTCATCACTAGTATTCAAGACGATGAATTGAAGGACCACACAAGTGCGACCGTGCGAGCTAAAAAAATTGGGTGTGTAGATCAAGAAGTTTGAAAATAGAAACACATGAATTAATGTATAACAAAAATGTTAATTATATCATGATCAAAAAAATGTTAATTATATATACTCAATTACGAAACACTATAACAAAAAATTTAATACATGAAAGTAAATTAATATGTATGCACATATACACTATAAACAAAAAGTCAAAGTGTTGGGCATATGGGCTTATTTTTCTCAAAATAATAGTGATATTGGGTTGGGACTGGCTATGCAATTGGGCTGCTGTTGGATTGATGGTGGGCTAAGTGATTAAATTTCTATTTTTAATGGACCATTCCTTCCATTTTCTTGGATATGGGCTTGGGCAATACTGGGCTACAGCCCAGTAGAGCCCTCCCCCATCTCCGCCCTTGATTGATATCCACCTAACCTAAATTGTATAATGTGATTGCACCACAACAAAAATGACTTCTTGCAACGTGCAAAATGATAAATGTGCTCTAGTTCTTGGTAGAAATACTTGACTATTTTTGGGAATGGACACTAGGGCAAGACATATTTATACATATTCACAAATCCTAGATATATGCAATTGTTGGAAATTCTTACATAACAAGTTAATGACAAGGACATTGCTATTACCGAGCTTGCACAATGTCTTGAATGACATGCATTACTTATCCAGCCTTGTTATACAAATGGATTTAAGTTAGCACTTAGCACCCTCCCACAAGATCGACTAATCACCCTCATCTACTGCTTCAACATTTTCCATTAATTGGTGTTGCATTACTGTGATTATACTATCAAATAATTTATCCTTTTTTTGTTAAATATTAGACGTTTAGGGTTATTTATCAACTATTAATAATTGTTATATCTGCAGTACAATTTTCCCTTAGTAGGCACGTGTTTCTTGTTATTTTTATTATTGTTCTAATTTTCGATATTGTTAATTTAAACTTTGTCGTAAATCAAATCATTGGACAAAATATTAACATAGACAGAAAATATTTGTTGTTAAAAGCCTTTTTTTAGCAAGCAGATCTGGTTAGTGAACGTCATTCAACAACCAAATAATGGTTACAGAATTAAGAATTTTTTTCCCTCAATTTGTTTGCATAGCTATCGACCTCGAAATTTCATCAAATTTCAATATAAAGTGGGAAACTCTTATAATATAACATAGTAAAAAATTAGCTTCCGCCGACATCATATGAGGTACTAAAATGTTTTTCAAAATCCATCAACGACACGATTGAGAGGTAAACCGGTGCAGTTCACTTAAAATGACATATAAAATTCTATAGAAATCAAAACCACATAATTTCAAATTTATTTAGTAGCTAATCTATGAAACTATCAAATACAATTAGTTTCATCTAGAAATTCCAAGTAACAATCGAGTTATGAATTTTTTAAGTCAAGACAGAAGCTAAAAAAATGGCGACTCTACCTAGTGCAGTTTACTTTATGCAACATAAAATTCTACCGACATCAGATTGACACAATTATAAGTTTATTCAGTAGCTAACTGATGAGACTATCCAACGCCACTGGCTTTGTATAAAAATGTCAAGTGATGAAAGAGTTATGAACTTTTAAAGATGAGGCAAAAACTGAAATTTTTGAAAAGACAACAAAACGTTAAATCTCTAACATATTGTTGTAAACGATGATTTGTAAATTTATTCTTATGACATATATCTGTTTTCAGACATAATTTATTCATGAGAAATGTTCGTAGAATAGATCCACACATGACATCCATAGGAATATAATTTAAAAAAACGTAAACATTTCATAATCAACTAAAGATATTAAATCACCGACTTCTCCATTACATGTCGCATTATCCTTTATTATCATCCATGCCCCAAAAAAAATCCATTCAACCTGTAGGAAGGGAATTAACCCATGATTTTGAAACTCAATAGATATTATTGGTGCATTTCGTTGTCAAATTAAAAATTTCGAACTATAGATTCATATCATCATACATAGATGGATTTTCAGCAAAATTCAATTACTATAGCATTATCATAATAGTAGAGCCGAAGAATGATCATTCAAACTGTTGTAGTGCCGAAAAATCGTACTCGGAGGTACAATTTCATTCAAATATTAATCGAAAATCATAATTTGAAACGAAATAAACACTTGCACATAGGGATAACAATCGGACTCGTCGGCTCGGGCCGCCTGTGGCTCGACTCTACCGAAGCTCGAGTCAAGCCCCATTTTGGGGTGCCAGGCAAAGTCTAAATCGACCCGTGTGACTCGTCGGCTCAGGCTCACGAGCCTATATTTAAAAAAAAATACAAAGAGAAAAAAATTAAAAAGTTAAAAGGCAGCACCTGGTGCCTTACTGCCTTAAACAAGGCAGCACCAGGCAGTATGGTGCTGCCTTAAACGCAAGGCAGCACCAGGCAATAAGGTGCTGCCTTTTTGAGCCTAGTTTTTTTGGCCGGCTCGATTCGGGCCCGAAAAAAAGCTTGATCATTTTAAACGAGCTGAACCCAAACCTCAAATTTTGGCTCGTGAGCCGGCTCGACTCGTTGACATCCCTACTTGCATATTTACCTACCTTGAATTTTCTTGAATATCAAAGTACAAAATGTATAGAAAGCCTTTTTTCTTTTCGCATTTGTTATTCCTTTAACTTAAATTGACATGAAATATATATATTTTTTAGAGAAAATAAGAGGAAATTCGAATTTGAGAAGGGGTGTAGTGAAAAAGTAACATTCCATTTCTTGTAACCTTTCTTTTTAATGAAAAACTAAATGGGGGTTGTATATTAATTAAGTTTGTTAAATTGGACTTTAACTAAGAATTTGAAGAGTTTTTAAGCCATACAAAGTAATTCATAAATAGTTTTATAAAAACATCTACATGATGATTCGAACGTGGATTGCCTATATTAAATACCATGTAGATGATTATTGTGGCAATCCAATTATTCATTAAATCTTTGTAATCAAATTTAATTAAATTTAATCTCTTAAATTGTTGGGCTTTTATTTAACTTATGGTTTGGGTTTTCATAATTTTAAATGGGTTGAACTTCCATAACTCGTTTCTTAAATGTGCTAGGCTCGTGGTGTTAAATCATTACAAAATAATTGCTTAATTTTATTTTATTTCTCGCGCTTCCACACAATAGTACTTGAAATAGTAAATATATCCCTAGTTTCATCCACACCCCTTTTAATAATATTAGAAAATATTTCTATGGCTTCATAAACAACACCTTAATCACTTTCACCAAGGTAGTCAGGCTCAATTAACGGTTTCACGATTCAACCGTAGACTACGAACCTAGTCCTAGCCTAAGAGATTTCAAATTGACATAAAGTACCGAAATGGGTATTTGCAGTTCAAGGTGTAACACCTCAACAAGAAAGGATGATGTGCCATCGTCATCCTAAACCTAGAACTAGTGGCCTCAGCACTACAAGATATTTTGAGAATCACTCTGGGAAGCCATCTTAATAATCTCTCATAAATCTAGGGATAGTAATAAAATCCACCGGGCCTCAACGGGGGCCTCTTTCCGAATGGGACAAAAAAACCCGTCCTGAAAGGGTTGACGGGCGGGTCGGGGCATGGTGGGGCGCCCCGTCGTGGGGCGCAGGGCGGGTTGGGGATGCCCCGCCCTGAACCCGTCCCGTAATAGAAAAAAAAATTATTTCTAAACAATTCTCCCGTTAAAAACTAATTTTGAATTTGTTTTTTATTCTTTAATAATAATATAATTCGAAACTTTGAAAATATAAAAAAATAAAAAAATATTAAATGGGGCCCGTCCCCACCCGGTCTAAGGTGGGGTGAGCAGGGGTTTGGGAGCGCGCCCCGTTGCGAACCCATTCCGTTGCCATCAGTACATAAATCTTGAAATAAAATAAAACCCAAATATGATAACACACGAATATTAAGGAAAGACATGGAATACGTACCTAAGAGAGGTTTTTCAGAAAATTGAGAAAAGCCCCAAAAATACAAAACACTGTAGCCATGGAAGACAAGCTAAAAAATGAAAATCCGAACGAGCAAGGAATAGTATTAAAGATAGGAGTGCCCTATTTATAACTTAAGCCCACATTCCTCCCTCATTCTCCCTTAATTTCTGCAAACCGGATTGGTTTTATAAATTAAACAGATAGCAAAAATTAATATGGGTTTTACACAGATTATACATTTATAAATCGTGACTGAAATTCATTGTATTATTAAGAATAGAACTGTTCTTTAACACCATGAAATTTGGAATTTCTAGTTTCATTTTCAGAGAGAGACTGCGCATGTGTTTTCTTGTGTATTGAAGTAAAATGGGAGGAATGTTGGAGAAGAAAGTGGTGGCGAAGGTGGTAGTTGCTGTGGAGTTGCCGGCGGCTGGTGGCGTTCCTAATATTAGCGTCGATGGGAGTTCTATTTTTTGGTTTCATTTTTGGCGAGGACGAAGGATAGGGGTAGAAGCGGGGGTGCGTGGGAGAGAGGGCTTTCCTTTTTTTATTTTTTAATTTAATTTATTTGAGATTTATTAGTACTTTTTGAAAAAATTGAGAGGCAATTTGTTCTTTATAATTATTTTATTTTTGTTTTATTTAAATAGGATGACGTATTTTTCAATTTATAATTTTTAATTGAGAAATTGGATAAAAATTTATGAAAATAACATTTTTTACAATGAAACGTGAAAATAGATGCGAAAATACGTAAATGTGAAATGTGCGGACGTTTTGCACATTAAAAACCAAATGTAAGGATATTTTGTGCTAATAAACTTACTTTAAAACATAAATTTATAAAGATTCAAAGCAATTAGCCTTGGTTTGGTACTGTTATACTTTTAAGAGAATCAATCTTTGGATGTGTTTTAGACAGAATCAACTGCATGAATTAGATTAGCGTTTGGTAAATTTTTGTTAAGAGATTATGTATGTTTCATAATCAAAATTTGAGTGTTTGATAAACAATAGTGATTTATTACTGTATATATATATAATTCTTTTGTACTATTATTAACATAAATAATATTTTATAATTTATTTCACTTTAATAACATGTAATATTATTAAATATTTTTCTAAGGCAGTGTATTCACTATAGTTATTTTAAACATAAAAATTCAATAGTTATTAAATCCAAACTTATAAAATTACACAAAAAATGTGTAGTCATACAATAGGAAAGTATTTAAATGAATTAATTTTGGAATACTAATAAATTAGGACATAAAAGGAATTATCTTAATTGTTGGTATTTTATATAATATATAAATGGAAAAGTTCAAAGCAGAATCCGAAAAGCTATCAATTTGCTACGTCCCAGATTCTGTAAATCTGTTGCCAATGCTACAGATGTTGGAAAATATTCAAAAAATAAAAATAAATTGAATGTAATTATAACAATCCCTAGGTTTCAATTCTGTTCAATTCCATAATTGATTTGTATTTGAATTGGTCCAATTCCATAGTTAATTTGAGGTTACAAATTCATTCATGTTTATTGTAACATTATTGGTGTTAAATATATACCAAATTATTTCAAAATTGATATTATGAGGTGTTATCTTCCTTATTCTTCACACCACTGAAAATTTTTCTCTTCTTTCTTTGTTGTAAAGAATCTTGTTCTTAGTACTCTAGATAATTTGTTTGTTTTAGCTCGATGTTAGAATTGTGAGCATTCTTAGTTCGCCTAAAGTAATGATAATGTGTTAGTCAACTACTTTCAACCATTGTATCTTACAGGATAGATACCGTCAATTCTCTTGCACCACAGTGATGGACGAACCCGTTTCAAAGAAATTGTGTACAACACATGCATCGATTCCTTTCAATACCGCTACTACACCAACAACATTTTTCTCTATTTTTATTGTTGATCTATTTATTGTACTATTTCTTTCCATTATTTTATTTATAAAATTCCAACAATATTTCTTATTCTCCTTTTGCATTTTTCCTAACAACAAATTCTTCGATAACTACATTTTAAGTTTACCAAATACCTAAAATAACCGTGATTGTTTGATAATCAGAATACAAAAGTTTGAATTTAAAATCAATTTCAAACAAGGTCTTGGTATTAATTTTTGGGAAAATTGTAGCCACGATACTGAACATTTCCCTTTTATGCAGACTTGACCCAAACTTTTAATTTGTAACACATACGTTACCAAATCTTTCAAAAACTCACACATGGAGTCCAAATTAATGGAAACTGTTAGCTAATCTGTTCGTTGAGCCAAAAATCAATAATATATCAAACAATTAAAATAAAAAATCAACTTCGTTCCATCAATAGGTCTCCATCCAAACCCAAAAAGAAAAAACCAGGACCACCCATTTGTCGGACACCGCCACCCAACCCACCGTCTACTGCTGCCTCGACTGTCACCATCCATCTGGTTACAGAAGGCTGACTTCTGGCTCGAGAGTAGCTCTCAAAAAGGAGAAAAAAAAGGAACAAACACAAATGAGATTTTGACAGTCTTGTCCCATTTCTTGCTTATCTATCCATTTGAATCCCATTTCGACTGTCTAGAAGCTCTCCGATTCATTGGTTCTGTCAACTCCTACTTTAATAGACTTAAAGGACTTTGGGAGGAACTCAAAAATTATAGGCCAAATGTCAATAATACTGATTATAAATTTGAGGATCAGATTAAGCAATTTCTCATGGGGTTAGATGAACAATTCTCTAATGTGAGGAGTCAGATCTTGCTGATGGATCCACTGCCTTCACTCAATAAGGTATTTCTTTAATTCTGCAAGATGAAAGACAACAGGATGTTGTGGCTAAGAAACAACAAAATTTTGATGCTGCTATATTTGCTAGTAAAATGATCCACAGCTCTTTTGGTAATTAAAGAACCAACTCGTTTAACCAATTGTAGAAAAAAGGATAGGCCTATATGCAGTTACTATGGAATGCTTGGACACCTTAAAAGTAAATGCTGCAAGCTGAGTGGCTACCCTCCTGGTCATAGACTGGCTAAAGGGAAAGCTCCAGTTGCTATTGATGTTAGTTCAGTACCTCACAACACAAGTTCAGACAAAATAAGTTCCTTGTCAAACGTCACTATTACTCCAGGACAATATCAACAAATCTAGGCCATGCTAGCTCCACAACTACAAGGACATATCTCTGTTGGAAATCAGCAAACTCAAGAATTGATTTCTTCATCTCCTCAAGTGCCTACTGCATTTGTTTTCTCAAGTAGATTGCATATGTTTTAATGTTTCCACAGTTGCTGATAAGTGGATTATGGATACAGGAGCCTCAGAACATATAGTCTGTTCCATTAACGACTTAACAACCATGATAGCAAAAATTGAAGCATCTATGAGATTACCAAATGGTGAAGTTGCTACAGCCACACATTTTGGTACAGTGAAGTTGTTTGACACTTTAATTTTGACAAAAGTCCTAGTTGTGCCTTGTTTCCAGTTTAATTTGATTTCTGCTAGCAAGTTGATACTTCAGCACAGATGTTGTATAATATTCATGGATCATCATTGTTTTATACAGGATCTTTCAACATGGAGGACGATTGGGATATATAGGCTCGAAGATGGCTTATACCACCTTCAGCAATTTGAATACTAGTGTAATGAATCTCCATGTTTCCCTCAACAACTCACATCAGCTTCAAATATTTCTTCTAGCATTAGTCACATTCCTATTCACATTTGCAATGTATTAATTCAAACTCTATTGTGTGTAATTCTATCAGTAATATTGCTGCTGACATTGACATTTGGCATTGTCGTTTAGGGCACATTTCCATCTCGAAATTGTCATTTTTACATAAAATTGTTCCCACAATTACTTTCAATGAGCATTTGCATTATCCAATATGTCCTATGGCCAAACAACATAGGTTGCCTTTTCCTAGCAGTAAGACAAAATCTTCTGGTATCTTTGATCTCATTTATTGTGACACCTGGGCAGTACTCAGTCCCTTCTTTGGATGGATCTCAATATTTTCTAACTATTGTGGATGATTATAGTCGAATGACTTGGACAACATATCTATTGCATGATAAATCCCAAACTAGATCCATTATTCAGTCCTTTTATCACTTAATCTAGACACACTTTCAGCGCAGTATAAAATCCTTTGATTTGACAATGGTTCAGAATTCCTTATGCCTGATTTCTATCACTCTAAGGGAATTATACACTAGCTAAGTTGTGTGGAAACGCCAAAATAGAAGGGGTGGTTGAACAGAAGCATCAACATATCCTTAACATTGCTTGGGCCCTTAAATTGCAAGCCAATTTGCCTCACTGATCCTGGGGCGATTGTATCCATATTGCTACATATATCATTAATAGAATACCTTTCTCCATCATTGGGAACAAATCTCCTTATGAAATACTTTATCGAGCCAAACCATCTTATGATCATCTTAGAATCTTTGGCTGCCTCTGTTATGCCTCTACTCTGAAAAGGAACGTACCAAGTTTGATCCTAGAGCCATATCTTGCATTTTCTTGGGATATCCGTATGGAATGAAATCCTACAAACTATGTAATCTCCAAACACATACATCATTGGTCTCCAAAGATGTTTCTTTCTTTGAAACTATTTTCCCTTTCCATTACCCTACTTTCCTCATATTTCAATCCAAGTCTGATAAGTTTTCCCGGTCTGATCAATTTCCTTTTCATTTCATATTTCACTCCCAGTTTTAGTCCCACCTTCTTCCCATGATCATTCTTCTCTTGATCACTCTTCTAAGTCAGACAATTTCGTTGGACGAGACTCTCCTAATATCACTCACCCTGGGACTTCCTCTTTCTCAGACATTTCTGGTACAGGTGAATCTCTCCATCTTACTCAATCTGAGGTCTCTTCCTCCACACATCTTAACTCTACTCGAAAGTCCAATAGACCTAAACGTGTTCCATCTTACCTTCATGATTATCATTGCAGCTTGATATCTTAGATCCATTCCTCCAATTCAAATTCCATGGCAAAAGATTCTATCCCTGTGAAGCACTACCCTTTCTCAGATTGTTTGGGCTATGGGATGTTGTCTCCCACACATAAGAAATATACATTAGCTTTATCCACAGTTTATGAACCCAATCTTATGCTAAGGCTGCTAAGCACCCAGATTGGTGCAAGACCATGGACACAAAATATCAGGTTCTTGTCCCAATAACACCCGGACAGTTATTAGTCTTCCTGCTCATAAGACTTTTGTAGCTTGCAAATGGGTATTTAAGGTTAAACTTCATGCAAATGGCACGGAGGAAAGGAAGAAGGTCAGGCTTGTAGCAAAAGGATTTACTCAAGAAGCAGGTTTAGACTATGAAGAAACATTTTCACGTACTACTAATTTGGTCACAGTGAAGAACTTGCTTGCTGTTGCAGCTCAAAAGCAGTGGCATCTTCATCAACTCAATATAAATAATGTCTTTCTTCATGACGAGCTGGATGAAAAGTGGATATGTCAATGCCTCCAAGTTATGAGCAGCGGAGGGTGAATGGTGAGCCATTAGTTTGCAAGCTAAACAAGTCTATCTATGGTCTCAAACAAGCCTCGAGGCAATGGAACACTAAGTTGTATAATCTCTCAAGGTTTTAAGTAATCAAAGTCTGACTGCTCTCTATTTAGCAAACAGGAAGGCTGCTGATTCGTTATGCTTCTCATTTTTGTGGATGACATTATCATTGGAGGAAATGACTTTGTATACATTGAGCAGTTCAAACAAGGCTTAAATGAACAATACAAGTTGAAAGATTTAGGGATTTTGAAATTTTTTAGAACTTAAGGTGGCAAGAAATTCGAAAGGCATATCATTCTGTTAAAAGAAATATGCACTGGAGATCTCAAGGGATACAGGTAATCTTGCAGCCAGACCAGCAAGTAGCCCATTACCATAAAATTTAAAACTGAGAAGAATGATGGGGACATCATTGCAAATGCAAGCATATATCGAAGGCTAGTGGGAAGGCTTCCATTTGATATCTAACAATTACCAGGCCAGATTTATCATATGCTATGCAGGTTCTTAGCCAATTCCTTCAGTCTCCAAAACAGTCTCACTTAGAAACAGTATCATGTGTTGAGGTACCTAAAGGGTGAACCTGGACAAGTTTTTTTTTCTTTTTTTACAGTAGGTTTGACTTGCATCTCAAAGGCTACTGTGATGCAGATTGGGCAACGTGTTCAGATACCAAATGGTCCGTTACTGGTTATTGCATTTTTCTAGGAAATTCGTTAGTGTCCTAGAAATCTAAGAAGCAACACACGGTTTCAACATCATCAACTGAGGAAGAATATCGATCCATGGCAGCTGCGATTTGTGAATCCAGATGTTTGAAGAACATACTCAGAGATTTGAATGTGACACATACTAAGGCAACATTACTATTTTGTGACAATCAGTTTGCTATACATATAATGGTCCGTCACTGGTTATTGCATTTTTCTAGGAAATTCGTTAGTGTCCTAGAAATCTAAGAAGCAACACACGGTTTCAACATCATCAACTGAGGAAGAATATCGATCCATGGCAGCTGCGATTTGTGAATCCAGATGGTTGAAGAACATACTCAGAGATTTGAATGTGACACATACTAAGGCAACATTACTATTTTGTGACAATCAGTTTGCTATACATATAGCTAGCAATCCTGTGTTTCATGAACAAACGAAATACGTAGAAATTGATTGTCATCTAGTAAGAGATAAAACCCAAGCAGGAGAGGTGAAAATGCTGCATATAGCATCCCAAGAGCAAATAGCAGATTTGTTAACAAAATCTTTAGTGGGAGTCAAGTTTAAATCCTTATTAAATAAGATGGGAATTTTAAATATACATTCTCTATCTTGAGGGGAGTATTGAGTCACATTATAGCACAAGGGTATTTAAGACTTTGTACATGTTTCCATTTTGTAAAAATCAGTTAGTCTGCGTCATTTTGTATATATATATGAGCTGGTATACTTCAGTTGTGGTTAAATGAGAATAATCAATTTTCCCACCATTTTCTATCTCTCCAATTCTAGATTCTTCTCATTGCAACTTATCATTTAACCATCGAAGAGTATTGAGTCACATTATAGCACAAGGGTATTTAAGACTTTGTACATGTTTCCATTTTGTAAAAATCAGTTAGTCTGCGTCATTTTGTATATATATATGAGCTGGTATACTTCAGTTGTGGTTGAATGAGAATAATCAATTTTCCCACCATTTTCTATCTCTCCAATTCTAGATTCTTCTCATTGCAACTTATCATTTAACCATCGAAATTTCAATAATATTTTATTAGTTGAAAGGATCATTATTTTCAACTCTAATTGTCTAAAATATTCTATATATGTAATTCTCTCATAGAACAATTATATTTTATTTGTATGAAATATCCTCTTATGGATAATATATTCTCTCAAATAGTAAAGGAGAACTGACTGTTGGAAAGAATTATATCCACGGTTAATTTTATTAATGATCACTTCACCCTAAATTTCACTAACCACTAAACTTTAAACTATTTCATATACGTAGCTAAGCTTCAAAAAGTCTTATACCACCATGTTTGTCTAGAGTATAGTTTTAAAGTTCAATTATGTAAATGGAAAACATTTTTATAATTTACCAAACTTTAAATTATTTAATTTACATCTCTGGACTTTAAAATTATTTTAAATTGAAGGAGAAATATTTTGTTAGACTTTTGTATTAATTTTTTCTATTTAAAAATATAATGAGCAAATAAGTCTTTTATGCTCTCCTAATGGACTTTTTTACCAGAAACCGTTATAATGGAAAAATTGTGCTAATTAATGAAATGTTGATGATAAGAATGCTATGAAAAAATTTGAGTCATAAATGAGACAATGAGTAAAAGTTGAAGACTCAAAATAAATTTAAAGTAGAGCAACAATGAAAAGTTGTAATGGCATGCCACCACCCAGTTAAGTCCAAATTGTAATTGGCAATTTTCTAAGTCAAAAAGTCATAGTTGAATTGTATTAGGTGTTTATAGAGTTATTTCAAAGTTAAAAAGTTAAATATTGGTAATATAGGTCTTGAAGGAGTCCAAGATGTCAAAGAAGATCAAATATGATCAAGGGAATGCATCTAAAGGGTATTAAATAGCTACAAAAGTTATTTTCCAAATTATTAGCTTCAACTCGCAATGTATTTTTCACATAGAACACATTCGAATTTGGAGAATGCTACTTTTAGCAAAATTGTAACCCTTTGAGTTAGCTTTTCGATGTATTTTGAATCACCTCAATTCGAATCAAGAAAGAAAGTTATGATGAAAATAGAGATGACGAAAAAACCCACCAAACCCGATACCCGTGGACCCCGCCATGAAAGGACGGGGATTACTCGCTTAATCAAGTATTCGGGTCAGGAAATTTCATCCCAGGTGGGTACAGTTGACACCCACCGACCCCATTTATATTATTTTTATTTTTTTTAAGAATTCAATACTTTAAATGAAAAACTTCATAAAATTTCATTAATTCTAATAGAAGATGACGACTAAAATTATCTAAAAAATATGATAAACAATAAAAACCTTAGTTTACTAAATATATTTGAATAATTTAACTTTTAAAAATTAATTAATTAATTAAGATTTTTGATAATTATATTATTATCTCACTTTAATTAATGGGGTTAATAAAATGAATTATCAAAAACTAAACAAAAATTAATATTTTAAATGGGGACAAGGCCTTGCCCCACCTTCAATCCACCTACCCGCTTGCCCAACCTAAACGGTTAATGG